TAAAAACTCTAAACCCTAACCCTAAACCCAGTCCCGAAACCCTAAACCCCACTTTAAAAAACAGCATGCACATCTCCGAAAGCCACTGCACGGCCGTGAGTCCAGTCCGAGGCGGCGCCAGCATCCAGGAGCTGAAAAAGCTCGCGCACGACCTGCAGAAACCCCCCGTTTTGGGATTGGGGTTTGTTGAAATTTCGGATTTGGGGCTCAGGGTAAGGGATTAGTCGCGGAGTTGATGGCTCAGGCTTTTTGTTGTTTAAGGGCAAGTTTCCTCCTTGCTAGTCAAGGAGTAAACGGGCCCTCACACAAAAAAAAACTGAGCCATCAACTCCTAGTAAATGTCGCCAAACCGAACAAGCCTTTCCACAGGTGGTTCAGCGTCTACGGTTTCGGGAGTAGGGTTCAGTGCTCACTAGCTCAGGGTGTTGGTGGTGTCACGAGGTTCGTAACTAGACAGACAGGGAAAGCTGCCTGTATAGCTGCTTAGAGTTGTGCCAGAAGTCCCCGCCTGCGCATCGCTGCCCCCAAAGGCAACCAAGTGGGCGCGGAAAGCTCGATACATGGCTCTCTCTTGAAATCCGATGCTAAATCTAGACATTGATGGGAACCCTCAAATCGATGCGAAGCGGAGTGGCCTGGAGGGTCAACTTCTATGATCACTTCAGATAGCCCAGAGTCTAAATCCTAAAGTCCACACCACAATTGGGAAGCAAGTGCGGGCCTTGTGAACCCTACATGTCATTTGTGCCCACAAGCCTTAAGCCGAGAAGCGAATTCGAGGGTTGCGGGCTCCCCAGTGTTTGAGCAGCCATGTTCGGCAGCACCGTGACAGGTTGAGGTGAGAACCCCAACCATACAAAACAAAACAAAAAACTATTGACGAACATCAGAAGAACGTGGACAGTAGAAAAGCGTCTTCAGTGTGTGACAGCGCACGGGCTATGGGTCATGGTTGTTCCAATCGCCTCGGTCTAGAGGAGGAGTGACTCAGTCAAACAATGCTCATTGCGCTCCTCATGAGGATGGCATTTTCCCTGGCAAGTCCGAAGATTCGACGAATACGCCGTCTCTAAACAACACCCCAAGAAACTGGACAAGCTCTGAATATGCTGCCTGAAACTCTAAAGACTGGCTCTGCACTCCACAATCTGTCCCCTAAGTTGCAGGACAAAGTCGAGACACTAAACTCGAAAGTCTGAATCTCAACCCATTACCCTCGACCCTAAACCCTAAACCCCTTAAACCCCTTAAACCCCTAAACACTCTGCAGCCTAAGCATTCAGTCCAAGCCCCCGAACCTCACCTCGACACCTTCCCTAACCCGGTTCTGGCGAGCCTGTAGGGATTGGGCGGCCAGTCCTTCACATGCTCTTGTGGGTGGGTTGCCTGAAAATTACGCCCCTACAGGGTCTTCAACATAGGGTGACGTACTTGAATCGGGATCCAGGGAGACCTTCGGAAGTACTTAAAAGAAGAGTAGTAGTTCCAACTTAGTTCCAACTGCAGTGCCAACTGCTGCTCGGTAGCATCACAAGGTTAAAAGTACAGGTTAGAGGCTTTCAGCAAAACTGCTGGCTTGCTGGTAACTTCTTGAACGGGACGAGTCATGGCACTGAATCACTCGGTCATTCCATGAGCACCCATCTGCCGCCTGCCGCTGTAGTTTGAGAAGAGAGGGCCAGCGTCCCCAGCCGAACACGGTGATCGCCAAGGTTCATGACAGTATATTTATTGCTGCTACTCAGGCGAATCGCAGCTGTTACTGTGTTTCACTCGTGATTTATCAGCCTGCAACGTTGCAAAACTAAGGCCGCAATGTGGTGCTTATAAGATGCACTTCCGACTCCATCCGTGGCCTTTTCCTGGACCGCATTTTGTCCTCAAGCCAGCATACGACCTACTTATAACTTGGGAATGAAGACCTTTACATGCACTTGGTATTTAAACCCTAGACCCTAAACCCAAAGCTTACCAAAAGTGTTGAAGTGGGTCAAAGTCAGGGCCACACCCTCGGCCCCTCCCCCCCAGACCCGGAACCCTAAACCCCTTCAAGACCAAATGACCCGAACAAGTAGGGGCCCTAAAACCCTTCTGCTATGAATCCCTGTGTGGTCTATGAACCTTAAACCCCCTTCAGAATCCTTTCGTCCTTATAAGGCCCTCAAGAGAGGTTCCTGCATCCCGTCCTCCTCGTCGAGAGCGGCAATCGGTGCGGAGAGGCCCAGACCCTGCATACCCAGGGGCGCCTTCGGAGATCCGGCGTCAGAAGTCGGCTCTACTTGGAGCATCATGGGACTTAGTACGTCGAGTTATAGGTGCCCTACTAACCGGGATTACAATTAACTATATAAGCATAGTTAACTGATGTATAACCCTAGTTACTCAGTCCCATGATCCTCCAAGCAATGGACCTCCACGAAGACCAGAAAGGCTTTAAACCCCAAACCCCAAATCCCAAGCCTCAGCCCTAAACCCTGCATGTAATCAGGCTGACAAAAAAGCCTTGGTCTCTACGTGTGCCCCAAACAGTCCATGTAGAAGAAACCCTACATAATGAGCTAAGAATAACACCACCACCACAACCACCCACGAAAAACACATGCCAGAGCAACTAAGCCCCAAAGAACAGAAAGAACACATAGCCAGCAGTGTCAGGCCTACACACCCATGCAAGAACTGGTCCCAAGAGCAATGCTGAGGCTCCCAAGGCCACCCAATGAGTCCAAAATGCGCACCGGCCCGTGGCGGGAGCACGGTTGCGACTCCCAGAACAGGAAAACGAGTCCCCATGATTGTTTAGCAGCGCAAACACGAACATTCAACTTGACGAATCTCGCCCCACCCTCTATGTCTAGTCCCTGGCAGTTTTCCGGGCGCTCATGCTAGACCCGTGTCCCTCCTACTTAAGCTTTATACGGCTTAGGACCCTAAAGGTCCTCTTAACCCTCACAAGGTAAGAGCCCCAAATATAGTGTACCCTGAACCCTGAAGCCGATGATAAGGCATAAATGAACCCTAACATCAACTCGAAAGCCTATAATTATACTCTATACCCCCCACTAAAGTTTAAAGACCTCAAACCCGACATACATAAACTCGAAAGCCTATAATTACTGCATACCCCCACTATAGACCTCAAAACCCTACATACAAATAAAGCCCTGTCGCCAGACTCTCCGGGAAACCGGGCCTTGGCCTCGAGATCCTCCGCCCTCGCGCTCGCAGCGCCCCGGCTCTCAAGGAAGCCGGGACCGGATCCTGGCAACAATGGGTTTAGGGTTTAGGGTTTAGGGACTAGGGTTTAGGGTTTAGGGATTAGGGTTTAGGGATTTGGTTTAGGGTTTAGGGTTTAGGGATTAGGGTTAAGGGACTAGGGTTTAGGGATTAGGGTTTAGTGGCCTTGATAGTTAGGAAAGGGCTTCTTGCCATCAGTGTAAACTCTACTACGATTATACCCCCCCAAAATTCCTAAATAAGTATATGGTAGAAAGTAGGGCTTTTTAGTAGGAATGAAGATCATTATGGCTTGGGTAGGTATTCGCCCATACGAGTAGTAAGGATCCTTTGGGTTTTGCAGCGATTAGAATCAGGCTTGCAGTAAATGAGGCTAGAAATTATAGGGACTACATTGCTTCTGTGTTTGAGGCAAATCAAGGTTTAGGGCTTCTTCTGTCGATGCACGGTCCAACAATATCCAACAATTAGGGTTTAGGGCTTCAGTTAAGCTTCGTGCTTTGCTGCCTTTCTCTTTTGATGCTCGGATTTCGGATTTCTATTCTAATAGGTCCTATTGCTTTATTCAGGGCCTTCAATTAGCTGTTTGAGAACGACGGGTTTGGGGCTTGAGGCCATGGGGCTAGGGCCTCTTCACATGAATCCGAAAGATAAAAGTCTCTGCGTGGGCGGTGGTGTAGCATCTTCCAGGCGTCTGCTGCCGACAGGCATCTTGGGCTTTGGGTAAAGGGCGCAACCTATAGGGGCCTATATATATATATATATACATAATTACCTATGCTATTTTGGGGGTTTCTTGTTCCATTTTATAGTTTTTGGGACCCCCAAACCCTATTGTCATCGTTAAGGCCCCTATAGTAGGGTCTGTGGTTTCCGGGTCAATGGACACAGATGTGCATGCAGCCTACGCTGAATCTGCAAACCTTACAAATGTTCAACACCCCTAAACCCTAAACCCATTTAGTAGGGTTTAGTGGGTTTGGGAACAGGGTTTAGGGGAACCCTACCACCCGAAACTGTACATGAAAAGCCCTAAACCCAACTAAGCCCTAAACCCTAAACCCTAAACCCTAAACCCATCGTTTCTCATGTTAGAACAACTCTTCTTTGCTTCTCAGTGAGAGCTAGGTGTCGCAGCTCGGCGGTTCCAACCCCGCAAATCCTACCAGTCTTAGGAAACATCGAGGCCTTCTGGAATGGGGTTTGGGGGTATGCTGTGTAGTATATGATATTACAATGGAGCTTGCAGATGTAATACCTGTCTCTATCCATCCAGGGGACAAATCGGAGGTGTACAACTGAATCATCAGCACAGCTCGGGTAGACAGTGTGGACCACTCTCTGGGCTTAGGGGCTTGAATGTAGCATGGGGTGTAAGAATTACACAACGCAGAATCACCATTGAGAATGCGGCTTGGGTATCCGTTCGGCGCATGTTCGGACCAGCGATGCCGTGGAACCTGCTACAGCACATGGGTTGCTTCTGGGCAGTTTTGGCAGTCGACTCCAGGGAAAACTCTATGCCGCGAGGTATGCATATTATGTTCTACTGCATTTCCTTCCGTAATGGTATAATACACTATGCTATGCTGTGCTGTAATATCTTAGAATAACTGAAACTGGTTTGTTATATTGCTGTACTATTTTTATACCTAACTATTTGCAGCATGTGAGACTACAACAGGTTACATTCAAGTTATATTGTAATGTGTTGTGTTATATTAATTGTATTCTATTGTGCTCTATTACAATATGGCATTTTAAATCTTGAAGTCAGTATGATACAGTGGTATTGCATAGTTATAATATTATCTCATCTTATCTTATCTTATCTTATTTACTGTATCATGAAACAATCGATTTTATTGTAGTACCGTGTATGATGTGTTAAGTTATGTTCTAACACATCATGTCATATCATATCAGACCAGCCATGCCATACCACATCACATCAAGTCATATCATATCATATAATGCCATGTCTTGTTTTACAATGTGTTATATGACAGTATAAGACAATATGTTATACTATCATTTGTTATACTGTACTATATTATGACATATCATATTATGCTATACTGCACTTACTACACTGTGTTGCATTCTCTGAGCTATACTTTGTTGTATTTATCTTATATTATATGAAAATCACGATACATTACAGTATATTGTGCTATAGTACAGTGGCTAGTATAATTTCTCAAAAGATGCCATGGCACGGTATGATCTGTTGTCTATTATTTCTGTACCAGACTATGTACCAGACAATACAATCCTATGCAAATCTATACCATGCACTACCATACTATACTTTCGTGCATTAAACTTTATGTCAGGTTATACTGCAAGAAAATACATTGTTTGTGGGTTATATAAAGTCAACGGGACACAACCTGTCACAGCAGCTTAAAATCCAATTCCAGCGCAGTGACAGACACAGAAAGCTGCCCGGAAGATTATAACCCGCGAGGTCTGAGGATTGCGGTTGAGGAGTTGAGGCCCGGCGGCAACAACACCCTAAGACCTAAGCCTACGTCTCACTTGTTAAACCTTCGGGCACCTTCAATTCCCAAGCAGCATCGACCCTAATCCTTGAAACTCTCAACTCCACGATTGGAGATGTCTTCTGCCCTCTGCGAGCGCCTCCTCACGAACCGCGCCTTGGAAAGGCTGATGCCGGCTTGGATCTTCGGGTTTAGGGACTCGACTAGAAGTTTGAAGGTTTTGCGCTTAGAGATATCAGGGTTCAGTCAAGTTTTGGAGGTTTAGGGGGGTTTGAAGGAC